GTCTCAAGAAACTCACAACCAAGGAACTCACCTACTTGCAGGCCAACAATGGCTGCTTCCATTGCCGGCAGCTTGGACACCAACAAACAAACTCCTTTGGTCGCCAGTTCACTCCTTCGGTCGCCGTGGGACCCGGCCCCTCCTCATCAAGAACTTTGTACCCTTGATCTCGGATTGCCCCTTACTCCACCGGTGCCATCCTCTACCCCACCGGATGAGATCATCACCGCCACGTGCTCTTCCACCCTCCTCCCCAAACCTCCCTCCATCTCCTTCTCCAATGTTGTTATAGAACAAGCACGACTTGATCGGCTCGTTCAGTTAGGCCTCGAACAACGCCGCCTCGACACCATGATCTCCTCCGCCTCCATCGACTCTTCGCGATTCCAACTCAAATTCATTGCCGCCTCCCTAGGTGCTTCCACACAAGTTTCGGGCTTTCCTTGACATCGGAGCTACCGACAACTTCATAATCGACGCTTGTGCCTGCAAAGTCGGTCCCCCTTCCATCAGCGTTGACTCCCCGATCACCATTCGACTCGGGGACAAGGACATTGCGATCGTAGTAGACCGCGCCGTTCCCGAGACCACAATGACTGTCGGCTCTCTCCGCAGTCAGGTCTCATTCGATGTCATGCAGTTGATGTGCAACGTCATCATGGGAACCCCATGGCTCGACCGTTTCATGCCCTACGCATTCCATCCCACCTTCTTTCGCATTACCACACCCCCCGACTCGATCTTTGACATTCCCTACTTTCCCCACCCTACCTCCCAACCTTTCGTCACTCCCCACCAGTTTCTCCACATGGCTCATCACAAGCCTGACTCTACCTATCATTGTCTTGTCCTTGACCATGAGCATCGTGAGGACGTGCTTCCGACAGACAAACCTGATTAAGCCCCCCCTTCCGGCCCCGCTCTTACCTTTATCCTCGCGGAGTTCAAGGACGTTTTTCCCAAGTCCTTGCCTGCTGGACTACCTTCGGATCGTGGTGCCTCTCATACCATTGATATGGAACCCGGTCACACTCCTCCCTGTCAACCACCCTACCAGCTCTTAGTTCCCGAGGCTGAAGAAATGAAGCTACAACTCAATGAACTCCTTGAAAAAGGATTCATTAAGCCAATCTCCTCCCCCTTTGGTACAAGTTGTCTCTTCGTCAAGAAAGGCGGAACCACCGAACTCCGCATGTGCACAAACTACCACGCCCTCAACCGGATCATGATCAAGAACAAGTACCCCTTGCCTCGCATCTTCGAGCTTCTTGATCGCCTCCRTGGAGCCAAGTACTTCACAAAGATCGACCTCCGAAGTGGCTTCCGCCAGATCCGCATTCACGAAGAGGATACTCGTAAGACTACCTTCCGCTCTTGCTTTGGGAATTGCCATTTCCTTGTGATGCCTTTTGGCCTCACAAATGCCCCAACGACCTTCCAGTCTACTATGAATCACGTCTTTCGCGATCTTCTCGAAGTCTGTGTCGTTGTCCATCTTGATGATATCCTAGTCTTCAGTCCCACCTTCGAGACTCACCTTCAACATATCCGCCAGGTCCTCTCTATCCTTAGAGACGAAAAGTTCTACGCCAAGCTCAACAAATGCACTTTTGTTGCTTCAAGCGTAGAATACCTTGGCAACATTGTATCCGCCGATGGTATCCGCATGGACTCCTCGAAGGTCACCGCCCTTGTCGAGTTTCCCCCACGTACGACCTTGCAGCAGCTTCGTTCCTTCCTCGGTCTTGCCAACTACTACCGCCCCTTCATTCGTGACTTCTCCGAAATCTCCTACCCGCCATAAAACTTGTTCGTGCCTATGATCGTGCTCACCCTGTATCCTAGCTATATACTACACATCACACCCAGATACCCTGCATAAACCCTGCCTCATTGCTCTACACACACCCCCTGCACCCAGCAAAACCCCTGCCCCTCGACCTCTCCCTGTCTGATCCGCTCTTGCCTCCATCCCATTCCCCAATCTGTCCTCTGCGACATCCTTTGTCTCTCTTGTCCAAGCCTTACCTGTGGCTCCTGCATATCACCGGCGATAAAGGATCTAATGGCAAGCGCATGAGGACGATGGCCTGCTGCAGCACCATTCGAGGAGATTAAACAGCTGGTTGGCCACCATGCTGTCCCATTGGCCGGCACCTGGACTCGCAGACTTCTGGAGCAGCACTCTTGACATGGACATCAGGATCAGTCTGCGACCTGCTATCCGGATCAGACTTCATCAGGATCGTGTACATGACGCACCCTGGCACTTGGACCTTCATCTACTGGACTGCTACACTACTTCTTTCAAGATGGAACCCTCGCTACTACTCGCCGCAAGCCTGCTGAAGCGTGGTTTATCATCAGCACTTTGTACCTGGACTGACTTCAAGACCTGCTTCAAGACTCTCAGCCAGACCATTTTGCAGAACCTGCGATTTCCCCCCCCAACCCCAATCACTCCGAGATCCTCAGAAGCCCCAACCCCCGAACACTGCAAAATAATTTTCTTTCTTTATTTTTGCTCACAGAATCCTTTTGCCCAATAGTTCATCAGTACGACAACCCTGTTTCCCCCTCAGATCATAACCCTGTGGTCCATCAGTAGGACAACCCTGTTCCCTTGCAGTTCCTCACCCTGTAGTTCATTAGTAGGCAAATTTTGTTCCTCTCAGTAGTCCATCAGTACGCATAACCCGTAGTTCATCAGTAGGAGAACCCTGTTTCCCCCAGCCCTTGTTACCCACATTATACCCCTCCCCCTTTTTCTTCCCGCTTCCCAGTGATCGGCCCTGTCCCGTCCTTCACAGGATTCAGCATTATTTTCATGACTTTTGTCAGCCGGGACGCTGCCTTCTAGAGGGAGGGGATAGTGTTACGGACTCCGCCAGGGCTCGATCCCTGGTCTGCGGGTTACCACCCACCAGCTTGCTGTATTTTTTCTTTTTTTTTGTTTTTACAATTTTGTTTTTGCTCTTCTGATTTCAGACAGTTGGCGCCATCTGCATTCTGGCGCCCGTTTTCAAAATACTTCCTTTGGGACTTTTGGATTTCGGACACTTGGCGCCATCTGACATTCTGGCGCCCACTCTCAGACTTTCGATTTTCATCACTGGCCCCAAGCCATTTTAACTTTGGCCCTCAGGACCGTACCTGAGTCCGGTACTTACGTCCGGACTCCCTCAGGACCGTACCTGAGTCCGGTACTTACGTCCGGACTCAAGCCCAGTATCAAGTTTCAGCCTCAGTGCTTGGTGTTCAGTTTGACTGCTTCGAAATTGTGTTCGGGAATTCAAGACTGTGACTTTGCGATTTTGCCACTTGGTGTCGGCGTCTGTCGAGTCGTGTCGAGCCTGCATCAAGTTGAGTGAGTGTGCGTGTGCCCTCTCACTCTACCTCTCTCGGCCTCGCTGCTTGCCTCTGCTTGTCTCTGCCTGCTACACTGGCAGCTATGGCCGCTGTCGTCTCCCTCCTACTAGCGGCTACGGCCACTCGCCCTCTTCCACCTTCGGGCATTGGCGGACAACCGGCGAACTTCAATGCACAAGTCACTTCGGCAGCACTTCCACGTAATCCACCAGATAATGAGTGAATGGCTGGTGGCTGCCTCTTTATTTATACTGTTTCGTTAGGTGGTCTGGGACTGCCGATGTCCCAGGCCCGTAGGATGTGCAGTCCCGTTTGGTACTTGCTGACCAGACGTGCACTGGGACTGTACTTGCTAACTAGAATAGGGACACTTGACGTTTCGGAGTCTGCGGGACCGACTCCCAAAGCTCCGAAGGGTCAGTTTGCCACTTCTAGAACCTCCTAGGCGACGACTGACTGACATTTCACCACACGTAGGGCTAGACCTATAGACTGACCCTAAGACTACTAACCCGTAGGTCTATTGTTCAAGCCCACACGACCCAAACTGCATACACGAAACATTTGTAAACGAGTTTAGGGACAGGTCGCAGGTTCAAAACACAGGGTCAACGGGCGACTACACAGTCTTGGTGTCTGCAATATTGTGCGAACTGGGTGAAACCCTTTCACCTGCATTCATTTTATGTCTGCTTGCGGAAGGTGTTCCTTTGGCTTCGTTACCAATACATAACGTGTTTTTGTGTGTGTCTATGCGTTTCTCCCGTTTGATGTCTATTCCTGTGAGATAATGGTATTGCTTCCTTACCCATATACGCTTTTGTGTGTCTCTGCATTTCTCACGTTTGATGTCCGTTGCCAGTCTTCCCTGACCTCCTCAGGCCTCCCCACTGATTTTTCACTTTTTTACGTGATTGTCGCATGGGCGTCAAGCTTTCTCCTAAAGCTTTAGAGCGGTCTCACGATCACAATGGTAGCCCTCGTATGTGCCAGGTGACCACGTTTGACTTTTCTGCAAGCACGGCCTTTTTGTTTTCGCACTCCCTTACTCCACACCCGATTCCACGTCTGTTTTTTTTTGTTTTTTTTTTCCAACTTCCTTTCACCTGTTTGCCTCCACCTTCGCAGGTACTCTGTCAACCTAAAGATGGTTAAACATGACCTTGGGCATCTCATTGTGGTGTACTCCAGGTTTTGACGTTAGAGTGTGTGTCGGTGAATGACGTTTAGAGTCCGTGTACTGTTTCTTTCCTTCAGAGTGAAATGAATAGGATTTCTCTCACACTGTGTTCTTTCTGGCATTTGTCTAACAAAGTGATTCCGACATCAGGCTTAATTTGAATGGAGCCAACGTGTCCTCACTTTCCATGGCATTTCTTGGAAAAGAGGTATATGCTTCACTGTTCCTGTTCATCTAAAGAATGTGTGTCATCTAGGGCTATAGTTCACTGTCTAGGTTACTGTGAAGATTATATATGTGTTGCAATGTCCTGCTTCGGAAGCTTTTGTTTGCTGCTGTATTTCTATGAAGGTTTTAAATTTTAAACTTGACTGTAATACGTCCTTCTTCCCCCTGTTTTTTGGTAGTACTTTGGAGAAGGCCTTATATTCAGTCTAATGCTCCTGTGCAGGTTCCTTGGCCACTTTAGGCCACAGAAGGGCAGAGCAGCGTTGTGGGAGCTTGACAATGACTACTATTTGCATGTTGGAACAGGCGATAGTTCTGAGGAATCACCAAGTGATGAGCTCAGGTATAGATGCCGCTTTGTCCCCCTCTTCTAGGTGAATTGTTGGAGCTATTAAACTCTCTTCATCTCCGGAAGTTGCAATTACCATGATATCAGTCACGGTCTGATCTTCAGGGTTGTGATGACCTGACCAAACACGGACTGAGACACACAGCTGATTGCTGAGTTTTGCTCATGGACTGAATGCCTTGCTGAGTTTCCCGCTTGCTACTGAGTTCTCCAAGTCTGTGTGTGTGCACGCTTGCTGGTCTGCATGCTTGTCTGTCTGAGTGCTTGTCGGCTTGAGTGTGTGTGACCCGCAAGGGCACTTGTTCGCTCGTTGGGCCCGCAGGGCCGGTATTTACCTGTGTCCGTGACATTGAGGATTGCAGCGGGGAAAACACTCAAGTGGTGGGGGAAGAGGCCCGCAACACTTGAAGCAGCGGGAAACACTCAAGTAGCAGGTAGGCCGGTACCACACCCTTTGGAGGTAGATGTGCCGGGTACTCGAGGTCGAGCTCCGAAAGGGAGAAGGTACCGGTTGCTTGGAAGGCCGAGCGGCCTGGAAGTCACTGCCCAAGAGGCAAGTAGGCCGCTATATCTTCCGGCTGAGCAAGGGTCTCACCCTCATTGTACGTGTGCAAGTTTGGTGACACACTGGTTGGAGCTCTGGCTGGAGCAGCGCTAGCAAGGAGCAGCGCTGCTGGGGAGGAGCAAGGACAGGAGGAGGAAGAAGACCAAGACTAGGAGGGAGCGCAAGAGGTACTTACCTGGCTATGGTGGATGCCATCTTCATCACCTTGGTGGGCGCTGCAGCAGGAAGGCCCCAGATGGGGTAGAGTTACACCAAGAAGTTTTGAGGCAGAGTCACGCATGGCGGCCTGAGATAGAGCAGTCATAGCTGCTTTGTGTTGTCCTTTGGACATCAGGGCAAGGCCCGAGTAGTCCTCCATAGCCTCGGCCTTGGACGAAGGAAAAGGAAGGGTGGCCATGGCAATGGTGGACCTCATGTGATACCTGCAGTAGAAGAGGGATTCGGACATTGATTCTGGTTCAGCCATTCAACATTATTATTATTATTTCTTGTGTGAATAAGAGAGGACGATAGTGGTTGGCGAAGAAGAAGAGCATTATCATTTGTCTATGCTGGTGCACATCATCTTCTTCTTCTTGCCCTCTCTCTCCTCTCAAGTTCATTCATTTCTTTTGCAATTGGATGGCATTGTACTTTCTGATGAATGTGTATTTCGAAATTGGCCAGTATCATAACATTGGTATCAGAGCGGATTCTACTTGCTGGTGAGAGTTGACTTTGCTGCCCTAACCCTGACCTAAGTGGTTGAGGGCAACACTTAGGGTTAGGGTTGGGTGTAAGGGAAGTGGGGCAGCGTGGCTAAGGCTAAGGGAAGCTGCCCCCGCCTGGTTAGGTTGTGTGGGGTCGACAGTGGACCTGACCAGGTTGCTTGAGAGTAAGATTGGGGTGGCGAGACATTTCGTGGAAACTCCATGTGACAACTTGAGAGAGGCGACAGTGAGAGGCACTCGCACCTGGAATCTGATTCAAGGGAGACACTAGGCGACTTAAGGGCTTCCCTCAAGTAGGTGTACTTGAGGGACAGCAGCCATTCAGCACCTACGGACTGCAAGTTGCTACTTTGTTCTTCGGTATTGGGGGGGGACCCGGCATTGCGCTCGGGTGTTGGAGTCAGACCCTCCTAGGAGATAGGACACTAGTGTAGTGGTAGCGTAAAGGGGTCAGGAGGATCATAAGAGGGGGGTGAATACAATTCATCTCAAAGCTCAGGCCACTCAGGTAAGTGTCGTGCACCTACGGGATGCCCATGTATGTGTGCATGGTATTGATTGTCCATCTGGGGTTATTCTGGGTTTCTTTCTTTTCCTCTGTGGTCTTGATTGTGTGATTGAATGTGTGAACTACTTACATGATGGATGGAGAAATGAAGTATCTTGATTTGAATGTCGAGTCCTTCGACAGCTCTTTGTCTTTTCATTTATGAACGGTTGTAGTTTGTAGGTTCTGCCGGAAGTTGAAATTTTTCAGTACGGTAGGGGCAGAAATTGAGTCCATGTGGGACTCCTCTTGGTTGGGACTCGGTCATGACCTACGTGGGACCAGGGACCCAATGGGATCGGGCCCAAGCAAGAAGGGGCCCTTGGACCCAAATTTGTGAGACATTGGTTCATGCTCTTTCCGATCGAGATCCGGAGTTTATTCTTTGTGGTTAGTACACCCACTGCTGAGGGGATCTCGGTTGAGACGTTTCACATGCTTTGGCTGCACCATCCGTGGCTTGGCTCGCACCTTGTACACCACTCAATTCTCCATTGTTGCATATAGTCACTCGTTGTTTGATTTGCTGCATGGTTACGAAACTGATCAGATTGGACTCAAGGGGATCTCGTATGCAGTCTGATTCGAGTCGCTTCTGATCAGACGGAGTCGCTGGATCAGACCTCTCCGGTGAATTTGTTTTTTTTTTAGTTTGTTTTCTTCTCTCTAGTCTAAGTGAAATGCTGCTCCGGCTAGGAGGTCTACCTTCTCTTCTTTGAGCTTTTCAGTTTGTTTCTTTTCCCGAGTTTATATTTTGATGCTTGAAGAGACTCGTAGACAAAAAGAAGGGAGAGAGAGAAGAGAGACTGAGAGCACCCATCTTGAGGGCCTTGCGAAAATGGCTGAAGCAAAGGCTTCTATGGCCCTAAAGGCCCAACTGGATGCAGTCGTAGAAGAAGATGAACCATTTTTCAAGTCCAGGGTGTTGTAGAGGCCAGTCATTGTGTGCACAGTGATCACTCGGAATTGTGAACCGTGGGTGTCCTGGAATCTGAGACCACCTCCCAACCCATCTTCACGTCAATACTCCTAGCGCACCCCCTATCCCACTATTCTGCCTCAGTGTGACCAGCACTCAGGACCATTGCCCTACCAACGGGCAGGCAACTTGGACCGAACAACAGTGATAGGCACCAGGGCTGATAGATTGCCCAGCCCTGGTGGAAGCGGAATCGGACGAACCTTGTCGAACGGGAACTTCGAACGCCAGGCCCAGACAATGAACTACAGGCGACCCCACTCTTGGTGATGACCAAGAACAAGACCTTGATACAACCTGTTCCTCTTCAGCCCGTGACTTTGACATAAATGACGAAGAAGAGAAATTAAATGCCTTTAGAAAGTCTGCCAATGTGAAGGGGACCAAATCGGAATTCAAGGACGAACTTTGTGCAACTTCCCAAGGGAGTCAAAATCCCGGCGAAGCCGAAGGATGCAACCACCAAACCTTGGGTTGACCTTCAAATCACTAAAATGATTGGAGGATTAGGCTCAAGAAAGGGTTATGCCTGCATTGCCACGAAGTACAAGATTGTTATAGGCTGCAGGGAAACCAGAATCGGGCGTAGAGTTGACATGAGCATCCTCTACGACAAGGGAGACTGAACCTGATGCAGGTCAGTAGTCCTCTCTTGAAGCCCCGTCATTTGCTGATTCCAAGGCTGAAGTTTGTCATGCTTTGTATGTTGGGCCTTGGAGGAGTCTGAGACGGCCGACTTTCACTATCACTTAGAGCGTTGGGATGAGATGAAACATTAGCGTGCTCAAGGGACAGTGAAGTCGAATCTCCTTCAAACTTCTCATAAACCACCGCTATCTTCGTGTCTTGATTCCTTTTGGTGCTACGGCTAATTTCATGTCACCGCACAGGATACGCAAAGTGGGTTTGGGGATGAAGCAAGTGGCGTTGTAGAACCCTTGCCGGACTCAAGTAGGCAACAAAGAGATGGTCTCATCTACGCATACAGTCGAAGGTGTGCGCACTACCTCTGACAAGGACAAGACAATCACCCACGCATTGAACTTTTATGTGCTTGACAAGTGTCCCTTCGACGCAGTCCGTGGCTTGGGCTGGATGCAGTCCCAATGCGAATGGACCTAGTGGAAGGAGTCACTTTTCATGGTAAACAAGTGGACTTGCTGCAACTACCTTGCGGGAAAGGACAATGACAAAACGTTTTGCGAAACACCCCTACCAGATGCTTCCATCGTTGGATCCTGTCTTTGCAATGTACCCGTACCAAACACTGCCCAACGTTGCAAAATGCCCCGACAGTCGCTAAGTTTTCACAAAAAAAAGAAAAAAGAAAAAAAAAGTATATTTCCATGTTGTAGCGGTAGATTCAATCGATTTTGCTCATTCTATCGATGGAACTACCCTCTCTCTTTCTCTCTCTCTCTCTCTCTCTCTCTCTCTCTCTCTCTCTCTCTCTCTCTCTCGCACATACGCCCACAGTGTATATTTCCATGTTGTAGTGGTAGATTCGTTAGATTTTGCTCATCCTATCGATGGAAGTACTCTCTTTCTCACTCTCTCTCTCTTATCTCACACACACACACACGTGTAGCAGTGTATATTTCAATGTTCTAGCGGAAGATTCATTCGATTTTGCTCATCCTATTGATGGAAGTAGTGTGAGGCCAGCCGCAGGGCTGGAGACTTAGCTGTTGGCCGGTGCGTTGCTCGACCAATCGATGGAACTACCCTCTCTCTCTCTCTCTCACACACACACACACACACACACACATTGTGTATATTTCCATGTTGTAGCGGTAGACTGGTAGATTTTGCTGATCCTATGGATGGAAGTACTCTCTCTCTCTCTCTCTCTCTCTCTCTCTCTCTCTCTCTCTCTCTCTCTCTCTCTCTCTCTCTCTCTCTCTC